TGACGCCAGGTGAATACCTTCCTGTTCCAGAAGGCTTTTAATTGATATAATAATAGCTGTGGGTCCGATGGCAATTTTTATATATTTTTTAATTGTTCTGACTTTTATTGTATTTCAAATGTTGTAAGCTGCCCAGAGACCTTTGGGTAGTGTGGGCTGCATATAAATTAAATAAATAAATAAATAAATAAATAAATAAATAAATAAATATGGGAAAGAGGTGACATGCAACCAAAGAAATATGTTAGCCTCACCCCATCCAACAACAAAAGTAACACTGAGAAAAGGGAGGCGGCTGTAATCTTGCGCTATCTCCACAAGAGTGAGGACCAGGAAAGAACTGGACGTCATGAAGAGGGTACAAGGATATAGCAGCTTCTTCAGACGATCACTTTTATGTATTGGGAGTGATGACAGAGAAAGTAGGACTAAAATGCTCTCTTCAATACATGTACTGCAGTCTCCCCATGTTTACTAGCAATTAAATGGGCACCCATTTAGACATATTTGGGACACAATTATGATTGGAAATGTATAGGATTACATGCAGCACTACAGAAGAGCAAAATATAGTTCATATTTCTTTTTTCAAAAGCCTTAATTTGTACAACTTGCAGAAAAGGGTTCAGACCCTTTTGTAGGACTGAGGCAATCCAGGATTCAACCTGATTCTGATTCATGCCTCTTTGCATTAACAAAACAACAGCTCTCCTTTCTGCTCACAGCAGTTTATTTGTCTGTTTGGTGTGCTTGACTTTGAAACAGATGCACAGAAACATAAACATATGCACTTGACTACACAGCTACAAAATAAAAACTGTTAAGAAACTCAAGAGCTCTCTGAAGTCCTCACCTGGTAACCCAGACAATTAAAAAAATCACATATATGGGGGTTATTTGCCTTTATCTTTGTTCTTGTTGCACTCTACACATACTCAAGGACTATTTCACATGTTCCAGAACTGAATTACAGAAGTGTATGATCAGTTGAAACTAATTCTGAAGGGAAATTCTCAAACATGTTCTCCTACTCTAAGATAAGTGTTTTGACAATTTAATGCTTAACACAAGTCCACGAAGGAGGGGGCAATGCATTGTAAATCAAGCAAGTTGGATTTAAACATTATATTGACTACATTTGCTCCTGTGGCAATTTCATCAGTTACCAGTCACACCATTAAATCTAACACATTTCTGTTGCGCACTAGTTGCCAGGGTTATACGGTGAAGTGGTCCATAAATGCTAAGGGATTCATGCTCTATGCTTTGTAGTGACTGCATTACAGCTAATGGGGCTCTTCTGACCTGCAGGAATAAAGAACACTTCGAGCTGCACTAGACCTTTGCCTAGTAAACAATGGAAACCAATGTGCCTTGCGTTCATTCAGTGCCAGTAATGGCACCTCGTATCCCTTGGGATTAGTGGGAACGGCCACCAAAGGCCACCAACCGTATTTAGTTTGGTATCCATCTTCATCTCTTGCAAAACCCTAAGGACACTTAAAGCAAAGTGTGCTGCTTATATATTGCTTCACTGTTTGTAAAGCACTTTCTGGGCGGTTTACAAGTTCATTCTGCATGCTACACACTGCTCCCCCAGCAAGCTCGGTACTCATTTTACCAACCTTGGAAAGACAGACAGCTCAATCAACCTTGAGCCGACTACCTGGGATTGAACCCCGGGCCATGAGCACAGTTTTGGCTGCAGTTATAGAAGTTTTAACTATTGCTTCACTGTTTGTAAAGCACTTTCTGGGCGGTTTACAAGTTCATTCTGCATGCTACACACTGCTCCCCCAGCAAGCTCGGTACTCATTTTACCAACCTTGGAAAGACAGACAGCTCAATCAACCTTGAGCCGACTACCTGGGATTGAACCCCGGGCCATGAGCACAGTTTTGGCTGCAGTTATAGAAGTTTTAACCACTGCATCCCGGGTCATGAACACAGTTTTGGCAGCAGTTATAGCAGTTTTAATCACTGCATCACAAGGCTTAAACAGTGCATGATAAGTATTTATCATGAGATTGTAAATATCAGCAGTCCAGAAGGAGACTGAAATTCAGAAGAACAACTAGGAAATTACTTGAAAAGATTGTGAAGTATAATGATGTGTTGTTGGAGACCAAAGCGAAGATATTCTATGCTATGATATTCCCAGATACTATGTACAGATGTGAAAGCTAGACAGTGAAGAAAGCAGACAAAGGAAAAAAAAGTATCTGAAATGTGGTGTTGGAAGAGAGATCTGTGGGCATTGTGGGCTTCCAGAAAGACAAATACATCAAATCAAGCTACAAGTAAAAATGATTAAACTGAGGCTATTATACTTCAGGCACATTCTGCGAAGACTAACTGGAAGAGACAATATGTAATGCTGGAAAAAGTTGAAAGTAGCTGGAAAAAGGAAAGAGCAAATAAGATGACTGATTCAGTGAAGGAAGCCACAGCTTGTAAGAACTGAGCACTGCTGTTAAGCACATGAAATTTTGGAGGTCACCAGTTCATAGAGTTGCCATCAGTTGGAAACAACTTCACAATACACAAACATAACAACTCAGACAGGCAGTCTGGGTCTGATCCCCATGAT